TATGTGGCGCAGCAACGATCTGCGAAATAAAAGTTAAATATTATATAATTACTAATTATTAATCTAATTTTGTTACACCTGAACATGAATGAATAAAAAAACCTTGTTTCTTATTAAAAATTTATAATTTTTTCTTTATAGAGAGGGAAATTTTAATATGCTTTATTTATTATAAAGTTGATTTTTGAAAAATTGTTCTTATAGAACTCGAAAATTTATGTGTATTGAATAAATATAAAAAGATATTGGATGAAACATAAATAGCTCTAAAAGAGAAGAAAAATGATATAACCGGGTGGATATATTAAGAAGTGGATTTAACGATAAGCGTCCATGAGCACGCTTAAAACATTGTTATCGTTTACATTCGATGAAGGAGGCTGGTTATTAAAAATATTCGTTCCATTGACAATGTTTTGTATCATGTTTAAATAAGCAACCGAAGATTGTTGCGGATTTCGTTGATTGTTATTCGGTTGATTCATTCTTGGTTGATTGTTATTAGGTTGATTCATTCTTTAATTTGAATATTATTACAATTTAAAATAAGTTAAAAAGTTTGCAGCAACAAAGCTTTATTCTTCGTGAAAATTATAGCTTGGGTTTATATAACTGTAATTCTTCATAATTAGAGCTGTATGCGTGCTAATCAACTCTTGTAAGTACGATGAAATGACGTTGTGAGTTTATATTGAACGCAATAGAGAACGTATACATGTATCTTGTTTTATTTTATTCGGATTTGACTCGGGACCAAATTTTTGGATGTATACATGACGTTTGCACCGTTTTTAAGGTTCAAAAAAAATTCGATTTGACTCGGATCCATCATCTGATTTATACATGTAAACCATTTTTTAAGATTCAAATAAAATTGCTTTAATGAGATGCTTAAAAATGATTTTTATATTCTCCTAATGTGTCAATTATATATAGATGTAATTTATAATACATGTATTATAATATTATTAATAGTTCAACGTTATAATCATTTAATTTGGGCCAGTAATATCACGTGGTAGAATACCAATCCAATCGTAAAGATTAGAATTTTACTATGATAACTGGCCCTTTATCACCAAGAATATTCAATGCAAAAAATTTAAATTTGTCTTTTTTTCGTTAATTTTAACCCTAAATGTGCTTTTTAGAATTATCTTTATCCGATTTTTTGAATCTGCTGCGCCATATATTGATCTTTATCATGCTAAATTAAATTTATCTTCTGCTCAAACCGAAATAATCATTAAACATATTTTTCCATTTTTAATTTACATATTATTCGGATCAGCAAAAACATTTTCTTTAAAATGATTTATTAAAAACAAATATATACCATTATTCATTTGTTCTTCACCAAACAAATAAATTAAAAAACGGAATAGCATGCACCGTCACCTTTCAGAAGTTAGGAATGGGTTTCTCATGATTTTTTTAAAGATATCTATGGTTTCCAATTTACAAGTATGTGCAATCCGAATTTGGTTTATTATTATGTACCGTAATCATGTCAGTCAAGTACATTCATATAACGACATGTAAAATGCGTTAGTCGATTCTTGTTGATTACACCTTTTATCATAATGAGAAAAAATGCAGAATTCATAGAATTTTTCAAATGAACAAATAGATGTGTTGAAAAGGTGAAACATCTCTTTTAAAAAAAAATCCTCAAAAAATCAAGGTCTATAGTTAGTATTGCATGAAGAATAGAATAAAATTCCGGCTACCAAGTTAATTAATTTAATTGAAAATATGTCGTAAAGAGTAAGACATGATCTTCAAAAACAAAAAAACCGTAAGATACGAACAAATAAAAATTGTTTATTTCCTTTTGTTTAATGCGATTTATGATGCATAAAATAGAACAGATAAAATAAACTCAATATAATTTATTAGTTTAATATTCTCAAATAATACTCATTTAAAATGTCTGCATAGAATTGCATATACATGTACGAACCAACATTCTATTAGTAGACCATGCAAAAGCAATGGTCGAACAATAAAAATCACCATTGATTTTCAGAACCATTAGAAGAAATACCTCAATTTCAACGAGAAATTTGACTAAAATTAAGCCAAAAGAATCTGAGATATCCCATATGACTATTTCAAGATATTTAAAAGCTCATGAATATAAAAAGTCTCTTCCAAAAGTAACTCTAATGCTTTTACAGACAAAAACGAGTTGAATGGCAAAATATCTCAATTATGACTGGAATAAACCTTATTTTCAGATAAAACAGTCTTTCAACTACATCAAAATACAGTAACATAAAAGGTACACGACCAATCCGTTATATGTCAAAAGAATATGTCAAAAGATCGTATAATGATTTTGCATGGAATGGATTTTGCGCAGCAAAAAAAAGCTTATTTTGTTTTGACGCATTAGTTTGATTGAAAAAGAGTTGAGACATGTATTCAAATGATGTATGACCCACGAGAAATTAAATTCATGTATAATAATTGGTCAGTTTGAGAAGAAACTTTTCAAAATTTTTTGTGTTATACCAAGTTATTATTGCATTTATGTACAAATGTACATCCTAAAAGAAAATTTAAACGCAAATAGATTAGTCTTTTTTTATATGCTGTGTATCAAGCTTTCTCCACTAATAATGTAAAAAAGTACTTCAAGGGTCAATAATATTGAAAAGAAACAAATATATTGTGCACGATAAAAACTAGCATAACATGACATGTACATGGTACTATGACGGTTGGTTAAGTAAAATTGCGAGACGCGCATTTACGGCGGTTTCTAAATTTAGTTTAATTCTTTAATATGCACATCGAAAGATTTATTAACTATAACTAGTACACTCCGGATGATGATCCGGGGATTCGCGAAAAAACTATTCATGTGCATTTCCAATTTTTTAATTTTTGTGTTCCAATAGAGTCATATCCAAAATTATCTGTGTCAACATCTAATTGGTCAATAAATAAATTGTTTTACTGTATAAATCTCTTAGTGGGTTATATTGTTCTTGCAAATTACATGTACATGTATATTGAATGCGTACATAATGTAAAGAACATGTAAATGTTTGATTTCTTAATTGAATAGGCCATTTTTATATAGTCTATACAAATTCATGTACTACAAGCACATAAATTTGTGCATGTATTGTTATGCATGAATTTCATCAGCTGTTACTGTGATACGAAATTTGAATACAAAAGAATAAATAACGATAATAAATAATACTCCATAACGATAATAATTATCGCTTAATACATGTGACTAGGTATTGTCGTCATCTTTTCGTTTTCAGTAACAATTACAAAAATTATAAAGTAAATTCAGATAGAAATATCATAAGATTTGCGTAATTTGCAAGCTTTTTTGAATCAATGATGAGAATATGATATAAAGTTAGACAGTACTGTAATTTGCCGTGCAAAATACCTGTAACTCTTACATTTCACAGGCAAATTTAATTAATAAAAAGATAATTACATGTATAAGTAAAAAGGATAAGCACATTATAAGAGGGTATTTTGCATAGCGAATTACAGTATTATGGATGTACAAACGCTTTTTTAATAATAGATATGAAACTCAATACATGTGCATGTATAATGAAGATCATCCGTTCCATTAATGAAAATTCAAAAAAATCCGTTAGAGTTTTAACTAAGAGAGCTATTATATCATTTAACCGTTCTGAATCACAATTTTATTAGTCTCCGTTATGCAGTGTATGAATAACTTGGAAATCTTTTATTAGAGTAATTAAAGCGATCGGAATACTATCTAAAAGTAATAGGATTAGGCAATGTTAATACTTTCTTTAAGAAAAATTATTATATTTGGATTTCATTTGCAATAACCCGAGTTTTAATATGTGAAATCTTTACATGATGTATGTGCTCTATTAGTAATCTAACAATAGGAATGATTGAAGTATTCACCCGTGAAATTTGAATGATTTTTTGCTAGATTTGGAATAAATTTAAGTTCCCATAAGGAAGGGTGCTTTGAGTGGAGTACCATACGTACTATATGACTATATGGTACTGTGAATCAGAATCTGTTTAGATCTATGTAATTTAAAAGATAGTAATATACCGTAGCTGCACAATATCGTGAATTTGTTCGTATAAATGAGGAATAAAAATTCCGACTTATCAACATATCATTAAATCGAGTCTTGGATTATAATCTTGCAGGTTGCTGTTGAAAGAACTCTTAAAATAAGAAGCCTTTTATTGATGTATGTATTACAAATCGAAAAAATCACGTAGCTCTAAAATGCAATGAATGAATTTCATCCGCACAAAGGTAATGTTTTTCCGAAAAGATTTCTCTGCTGGAAAGTTTGTAAATACTCCGAATTCCGGCAAAGAACGGATTTTTAGCCCGTTCATCAAGGATGTTTTTGAAGCAGTTCGGCTGAAAAAAGTCAAGACATTGGGACAATAATTTAATAAACTCTTTGAAAACGTCTGCACAATCAAGAAGTTAATATTATTCATTTCCTGCTTTATGACTAATTTAGTGAGAATATTCGTCTTTATTATTTTAATATAATCTCTTTAATAATGATGCAAGTATCCTAGCTTGTGGTTAGTGTTAGCAATTGAGCATTGGACATACATGTGTAAACATTGCGTCCATTTAAGCCATTGGACCTTAAGTCCAAAAAGATGTATTACATATGCATGCATATCGATTGTGTTCTAAAAGTTTTTCGATGCATAACTTACTCCGTAACGGTAACAAAAAAAACAATTGAACGCCAATACAGAAATCGATTAAGAAGATCGATTAAGAAGTTTCCATGAAGAATGAAATAATAATAATAATAACGAAAATTACGGCACACGGAGATTAGAAAGAACGGAATAGCGATTGCGATAGATTAGCTTTTTTAAAAGATGGAATCTAGATTTAGAATACGTAATTTGACTGCATGCAAAATGCTTCTACATATTCATAGATTAGTAAATGTGCCGTTCGTTTCAGAAGTGATTGTTGTGATGAATTTTCTATAAGTTCAAACAAAAATGACAAATGAATGTATAAAAATTGAAAGGTTGTCTTGTTATTATTCATAGAACAGCCTGGATCGTTGATTTACTATGACAATGAAGAAAATGAGGTAATAAATGCTAAATTGAATAAACTAAAAATAATTGTTAAAGATTAAATGTTTTCTTATTTTCTAATACAGTTAAACTTTTAAAAATAGATAAGCCTGTTTTAAGTGTAATACCATTCATTTTGGAATAACTAAAAGCCCAGCAACAAATGAATACTCGATAGTAATGGTTTATGGAAAGGATGGCGATCTTCGCAAATGTATTAATTCTAACCCCGGAAACATATCGATATTAACGTGTGTTACGTTAAATTGCCGAGTTTGAACTTAGCAGACATGATAAAGTTCAGTCGAGAAATCTACGATATTGGAACCTTTACGTGATTGTTGCGGAACAACCGTTTGATGAACAAAATCATAATCCTATTTGACATTTTATAAAGTAATATGACAAATACCAAATAATATTTTAGATTGTTATTGATAAAATCCTATTCAGAACAGACAAACTGCTTCGGACTTTGTGATTCGTACCTTTTACGAACAACAAACAAAATACTTGCATTTCAGTGCTACGGCTCTTAGAATGTTCTAAAATAGATGAAGAAATTAAAAAGCGTCTTAAATGGAAAAACTTAATGAAGAGGATATATATAAAGAAGGATACTTACGAAAGCCAAATAGCAGTCGGATCTACGGATCTTTAATTTTCAATGGCAGGTACAATTATTTCAAAATACAACTTAATAATATCATATGTTTAAGACAAAATCGTACCTCATGCTAATATGATCGTAAAATTTTAGTTTTCCGGTTTGGAATTAAGCTATTTCCGAAGATCTCCATCTTCTGCATAATCCATTACTATCGAGCATTTATTTGTGGTTGAGTTTTAGCTATGATATTTACGAGGATTACACTTTAAAGCAGCCAAACTCTATTTTGAAAAATCTAATGAGGATTAGTGATCAAACAACATTTTTCTTACGCTGTCCGAATTATTTACATGTATTTACTTTTAATCACATGCTTTCCATGTTACAAGCACATGTTAGATCGTTTCATATATGTATAATTCTCGTTCTTTGATCCTTTTTAACGGAGATGAACGTACATGTATATTTAAAAACATTAAAATGAAATAAAATAGGATAATATCATTTTTATTCGAACAATTCATAGACGGTCAACTTATATAAAAATTTTTCTGCATTATTTGTTTGTCATACCATTCATCCCCATCGCATATTTTAAATGAATTTTTTATGCTACTGCATACGTAATTATTTATACAGTACGCGTACACCTCCTGGAAAAATCATTAGGTTTCCCAACTTGAACGTAAATTTAAATATGCCTGCTAATAAAATTGGATCAGCTGAGTTTAAATAATATTGAATTTGTAAAAAAAAATTTCACGAAAATACAGAACATAAGATTTTACATGATGTTTACTAAAATAATTGATTATTCCATTTCTGTAATTAATAAACAAATGATTATATCTCTAAAAAATAAAAACCATACTCTTTGTGTTTATGTATGTACATGTTTTTTATTTTATTCTTATCATTACAGTTATGGCAATATAGGTAAATTCAATAAAAAAAATATAAATAAAATTGGATGCATAGATGTTTGTTGATATTATGAGGCTGCTATATATTGACAACGATAATTTTCCGCTATTTTCTATTATTTTATTCAATTTATACATTTTATCCAGTGAACTCAAAGATGAAATCAAATACTCATGATTGTAGTAAATATACTCGCTGTCAGAGCGTTGACTATTTAATTCATAATTATGATTGTAGTAAATGTTGAAATTGTTAATAAACTAAATGCTACAGGAAATATTTTGATTATTACATAGAAATTCATGAATTATCAAGTGGAGATAAAGACAATTTAATAAAAGAATGCAACAAAATTAATGAAGTATATGAATTATGCAAATGAATTTCTTTTGAAAAAAGATTTATTAATATTAATATCATGCAAAAGATCAATTTATAAAGCAATTAGTGGAATTATGAAGAAAATATTAGTAATGATGAAAAAAGTTCATTTTTAAGTAGTAAACAATCAAATCGCAAGTTATAAAATTATATGTATATTGTATAGAGAGTATATAATAAAATTTTGTTTCTTTACAAATTATTATTGTGATTTGATTGGTTTATCCTTAAGAAATCATATCGATATGGTCTCAATGTCATTAAATTATCAGATCAACCCAAAGTCTGATCTGATCTAAATATTATCAATTCAGTTCAGATTTTGATTAAATTTAACCAGTCAATATTTAATCTGAACTGGAAAATTTTGGATCAGATCAGATTGTTTTCAATTCTGAACTGATCTAACAGAGCTTTAATTCGAAGTTTGAACTGGACTCGGACTCAAATCAGGAAAAAAATTTTGAACTTGTACTTGAACCAGACTCAAACTTTAAATTTTAATCTAGTTCAAGTTTAGTTTGAGATCAATTCCAAGTATAAAAAAAAATTATAGCTCTAAATAAGTGCTAAAATTTTGTTATAAGTATAAAATAGATTTGTTATTCAAAAGTTTGACTTTAACATGACAGAACTAAAATAGTTTTATTTGAATAATAATTTATTATATAAATTAATAATTTTATAAATAGTAATATTTTAATATAAAGTATTTAAATAAAATTTATAAATCTAAATAAGTATTATAATTTTACTTATAAGTATAAATAGATTTATTATTCAAAATTTTGACTTTAATTACTCAGAATTAAAATACTTTTATTTAATAATTATAATTTATTATTATAAATATAATATATAGTATATTTTATTATAAATTATCTTAGTATCTTAGTAAACTTTATAGTTCTAGTCAAGAACTACAAGTTTTTTTGCATAATTCTTATTAAAATTAAAAATATTATTAAAAGACTAAAATATTTATATTTTTAAATAAAATAATTTATTTTGAATATCAAATATTTTAATAAATATTAATTTTTTTTAAGTTTAATTTGACTTTTCAAATTTATTTCAAATCTAAACTCAAGTTTTATTTGAGTCTAATTCAAATTTTAAATCAGATTTGAATTTGATAAAATTCTAATTTAGTATTATTATTATCTTTAATATTATTTATATTTATAATTATCAGAATAATAAATATTATAAAAGATTCAATATAAAACTATTAATATTTATTTATATTATTTATAAAATAAATAAAAATAATAAAAAAAAAAGAAAATAATCAAAGATTTTATTTCTTATAAAAGTTATTTAATTTATTTATCAAGCTAAAAACTTATTATTTATCAAGTTAAAGAATATATTAAGTTATAAATATTTTTTTTCAAGTTATAATTTTTATTATTTATTTAAAAAATCATAATTTCTATTAAATTTAAATTATTATTTTTATTATTTGATATTATATTACTTAATATATTTATTTTACTGAATTTATATATTATAATAAATTCTTAAATAATATATTAAAAAGATATTAAATTATTAAATATTTTCTTATTAATTTAGAAGTTATTATTTAAAAATAAATATTTATTTAATAATATAAGTAGATTTATATTATATTACTTTTTAAAAATATTAAATTTAAAAAAACTATAATATAAAAATAATTTATAAGAAGAGATAATTTTTTGAATATTCTAAAATACATTAAAAAAATAAAAGAAAATTAAAATGAAAATTTTAATATATTTATTTTTTTATTTATATTTATAAAAACTATACTAAATTAATTTTATTAATTAAAAATATTTCTTAGAATAATAAAATAATTATTTTTAAATAAATATATTCAACTTAAAAAAAGTTAAAAATATATTAAGATTTTATATAAATTAGAAGTATTCTAAATATATAAGTATATTTAATAATAAAATAAATAAATTTAGTAAGTTTAATTAGTATTATTTTATATATTATTTAAATTTAATATTAATTAATCAATTTTATATAAAATAAAGAATATTTATAACTTGATTTATATAAATATTAAATTAATATTATTTAAAATATTTAAAAATAAAATTCTAAATTAAAATAATATTTTGACTTATTATTTGAAAAAAATATTAATTATAAGTATTCAAATATAATTTTGAAATAATTTATAATATTTATTTAAAATACTTAGGATTTTTATTAAATAATAATTATACAAGAATTATTTTTATAAATATTAATTTTAGAATTAATATTTATTATATATAATATTTTCTTAAATAAATAAAATATATTATAAAATCTTATTAATAATCTAATAATTTTGATTAAATTATATTTTTTTAGTATTAGATTTTTATTTTATACTAACTGTATAATAGATTATCTTTTATATTGCATATTTTAACATTAATTTTATATTAAATATATAAATAATCATTTATATATTAAATTAATAAGATTTTACATATTATTATATAATGATTATTATATATATTATAATTTCAAATTTCAATCAATAATATTTTTTATTTAGATTTATAATTAATATTTCTTTATATTTTTATTTATTCTTTATTATTATTATTTATATTATTTATTTA